AAACTGAGTAATTCTTTTTAACATGAGCCATTTCTAACTGCAAACTTGAAATAAACAAAGCAAGGTGAGTAAAACTGTATTTTTCTGTACAATCTATTTTTTATCTAGGTCAAAGATATAATGGAAGTATTTACTAAGGTGCCAAGCTGCAATGTCTAACAGAGACTTTCTTGAAAGACACAAAATGGAGTTACTTAGTACAAGAAAAGATTTGGCCTAGATCTTAGCTAGAAATTCAATCATATCAAGAGCCTTAGTTTTTAGAATGTTCTTCAGTGCTAACAAGACAAGTAAGAAAATCAGCAACTTATGAGTGTGTTACGAAATAGCTGCCATATCCCTCATCAGCCCTCTGGCTCAGGAAAGTCACCCTTGGTACACCCCCTACCTTAATAGGAAACATACAGAAAGGGAAATCTGGGAAATGTAGTTCAACCTAGCCAAGCTACCACTCCCTTTACAAAGTCGTCAGTCACACTGTTATTTAAAAATGATAATATTTCTTATTTTAAAAAATCTGTGTATTCAATTTTTCTTGAAAAATTAGATTATATGGTTACAATGAACTCACATATAAACAAACTGATAGAGTTGAGAGAAGGCTGCCCCTTAAACCTGCATGGTACTCCCCAGCTGGCTTCACAGATTTCTGTTATCTGTTGACCACTGTAAACTAACTGATTTTGGAATCTAAACAAAACTATAACAGATTCACCCAGAAGCCATTAATGTCTCTTCCTTTTTTAATCCTATCAACTTTCTTCCCTCTTCCTTTTCCCCTTATTTTTCTTTCCTAAGGGAGCTCTGGGAGCTCTGGTAGCATAATGCCTTAGGCACTTGACTGCTAACCAGAAGGCTGGCGGTTCAAACCCACCAGCCACTGGAAGGAAGATTGGGCAACCTACATACATAGAGATACCACCTTGGAAACCACAGGAGGGATCGCTATGAGTCTAATCGACTTGATGGCAGCAAGTTTGGTTTTTGGATTTATGAGAAAATGTGGAAATATGGTAGCAGGTGTATAGGGTGGAAGGTAAGGGGTCAGAAGTGAATTCTGGTAGAGTAGAGTGTGTATGCATTGATGAGTCTCAGAGGTTTCCCAGAAATCACTAAGTTTAACATCAGAAATGGAATGAAAAGGGCTTTAATCTCATTGGCTGTCATCTGCCTACCCCTAATATACAACCGCACATAACATGGATGGAACATGAAAACTTTGGGTTACCTACTACTTGTGTCTATCATCGTGTAGGATTTATATGAATTTTGCCAATTCTAATTAGATTTTTTTGATGCTCAATATATATTTAGTTTGCTTGTATAGTCTTGTTTTGATATATATGACTAGGATAATGAAAATTATCACACACACATACACACATCCAAATATTTTTTAAAATGAAGGATTAAATGTTCTCATAAAACCTTCACCTGATTTTACCATGATCGTCAATAAAAAAACACACAAAAAAAAACCCCAAACTCACTGCTGTCTAGTTGGATCCAACTCATAGTGACCCTTCCTTGGGTTTCTGAGGTAGTATCACTATGGAAGTAGATTGCCCAACCTTCCTTCTGAGGAGTGGCTGGTGGATTTGAACTGCCAGCCTTATGGTTTGCAGTCAAATGCCTTCGGCACTATGCTACCAGAGCTCCTAACATTAAGGTAAAGGAAAGTCAAATTCAACCCAAGAAATGTTTAACTGAGGATAATACAAAGAGGGAATAGAATAGGTACTTTGAAATTTGAAGAGGCTTGTGGAGACTAGAGAAAAGGCTATTGCAAAAGGGAAAATGCTGACCACTAGACTGAAAATACATAGAGAGTTTCAGTTCAAAATGGGAAAGCAGCTTCTAAAAGCAAGAGTTACATTTTTTATTTTCCACATATTATGCCTCCAGCTTTAGTTTAACAAACTACTACTGCTTGGAGCCCTATTTATACATTTTCTGTCAACAGAAATCAAATGATATTAGTCTTCTGCCATTTTTATATTCATGAGCTGAGAATTAACTGTTTGAATTTGACAACGAGGTCTTTGAATTTGTAGCTGATACTAGGGTTCTAATAATATTTTCATGTTACAAGAGTTGTATCCATATTTAAGGAGCTCTGGTAGCGTAGTGGCTAAAACACTTGACTGCTAACCAGAAGGCTGGCGGTTCAAACCCACCAGCCACTCCTCAGAAGGAAGATTGGGCAATCCTACTTCCGTAGTGATACTGCCTCGGAAACCCAAGGAGGGGTTGCTATGAGTCAGGGCCCACTCGACGGCACATAACAACAACAACAAAATCCATATTTAACTTTTGCTAAATAAATGATATATTATAGAATGCTGAACAGTCCATGATGTTTTAGATAGTTTCGATGGTTTCTCCATCATATAGCCTTCTGGCCATCACAGACACAAATACACACACATGCACAAACATGCATACTCTCACATATGCACAGAGTCATGTACAACATATTCACAAATATGCTCATACACTCATACTCACACCTCACATACACATTCACATACACAATGACAAAGAATTAACGTTATACACTTTTAGGGAAGCTAAGCATGTTTAAACATTTTGGTGTGAAAATGGATTATGCTCTATGAATGCTAGCTATATGAAAATTTTTGTCTAAGAAAGTAGTTAGCAGCATGTAAATGTTTTTGGTGACATATAAAACATAATACACACTGCCATAGGTCGAGTCAGATCCGACTCATAGCGACCCCTCCTTGGGTTTCTGACGCAGTATCGCTACGAAGTAGGTAATAGGAAATATGTTAGATTCTTGCTTTGGTTGAAAGGGGTTTATTTCTTTTTCTTTGAACCTTACTATTTTTTTTTTTTTTCCCAAAAGGACCTTTTAGGTATTAGAAAGAGCAGAAAAAACATTGGAATTCTTCAGCTGATTATTGGGTCTTTGTTTTAGTTGGAGCCAAAAGATTCTAGGACTAAAAAATATTATAATGCAGTTAAGACATCTTTATAATTGTAAAGGTACCAACTTCAGTGAGACCACCATGGTCAATGTCACCAGCATCTCTCACCTAGTTTTCTAAGTAACCATCTATCTGATCTTCCTGATTCCACCTGGGTCCACTTGCAATCTAGTCTCAACACAGCAGCCAGAGGCATCCTTTTACAAAATGAATTAAATTACATCGCTCCTCTGATTACGACTCTTCAATGGTTCTTATTTCTCAGAATAAAAGCCATGTCCTTACAAAGGCCTGCAAGGTCTGACATGATCTGATCCTACTTTAATGTATCTCCTTCTAATCCCTCATTGACTTGATCTTTGCTTAGGCCATTCTGGGCTCCTTGCTGGTCCCCCAACAAGCCAGGTCAATCCTTTGCATGGACTCTTTCTTCTACCCAGAATGCGCCTCTCCCTGGTGTCCACTTGGGCAACCCTCACTTGTATTTCAAGACTTTACTGAAATCTGTCTTCTCAAAGAGATCTTCCATGACTACTTTGTTTAAATTTACAAACCTCCTCCACTACTATCTCATCTTTTTATCCTGCTGTATTTTCTGTTGTCATAGCATTTGTCATCTTCCATCATGTTAGGACAAAAGGCCCTGGTGACACAGTGGTTAAGTGTTCAGCTGCTAACCCAAAGGTTGGCAGTTCAAACCCACTACCACTATATGAGAGAAAGATGTGGCAGTCTGCTTCTATAAAGATTTACAATCTTGGAAACCAAATGGGACTGTTCTGCTCTGCCCTATAGGGTTGCTATGAGTCAAAATCGACTTGACACCAACCAATTTGGGATTATTTTGGTTTTATCCTGCTAGGTAACTTATTTCATCCTTAAGTGTGTCAAATGTTGGTTTCTTTCCATTAGAAAGTAAACACTACAAAAGCAGAGGCTTTGCATATTTGGTTCATTGATGGTCACTGATGCCTTTGAGTTCTAGGCACCCAAGAACAGCATCTGGCCCATAGTTGGTGCTCATAAGAATTTGTTAAATAAAAGATTTATGTAGAGAGGTAGCAAAAATTTACTCTGTGCATGAAAAGATAGGTCTACCTTTGGGGGAGAAAAGGATAACCATTAAGCCCAGACTTGTTGAGCTGTATTATTCAACTGAACAAATTGCTATCAGTAATTCAACACCACACTTTCTCAAATTTCTTTACAGTAGTGGGATTTTGTGGAGAATTTCTCCAAAGGAACAGTTGTAATCATATTTAACATTTCGAGCTTGCAGAGGGTAGAGAAAAATCTATTGCGATTTCCACTGCATTTCCAGTAGGCCAGATCCCAACTGCATTGGAAATACTGAGGTACATAAAAGTTGTTTGAGGTTTTAAATCTCTGCTCTAGAAGGCAGTCCAAGAGATCTCCCAGACAAATTATTTGAAATACCAGGTGACTTAGAAATCAATTTCAGTGCCACAAAAATGACAGCCTCCCTTTTTTTCCACACAGGGGGACGGTTCCTCCTCATTCTTGTCGGAAACTTGCCATGAGGATCCCTCTGTTTCCCCCAACTTTACTCCCCCCAACCCTCAAGCTCTCAAGTGGTGACCACCATCCTTCCAGCCAGGTAGGACTGGACGGGAGGGGTCGCTTTTGAGAGAAGGGTGGTGTGTGGCCATCTGGTTTTCAGGCACCATGGACTTGCTCCTTTATTCTTCATCTTCCCTTTTTTCTACACCACCATCTTTTTTTTCCTGCTATAATTTCCAGCCATATCCAGTCTCCCCTCCTCTTTCTTTCATGCCTTTCATTGGCATTTATTTCTTCATCACCCTGTTCTCTTTTTCTGGCATAAATTCCATTCTTCCATATTGTCTTTCAAAATTATCTTCTTTTTCGACCTTGATCTTTCTCTCTTGTACTCAAACTACTATTTTTAAAAACATTTATTCTGTTCCGACTTATCACTGCACTATTTTCCCTTGGACTTATTATCTTAAAAACCAGTGGGATTAAATTAACTCTCAGGGATTCTTCTTTTCCCACTTCAGTCAATTTGTCTCACTAAATTTAAAAAATCCAGAAAATACACTTTATTTGAACATGCTACTATGAGTTAAAGGGATAGCTCATTATTTCCTGATTCTATAGAATAAAGAACTCTTGGAAATAACTCACTAATAGGGATACATGAATTAGGGCTGTTGGTTGAACCAAACTGAAGCTTGAACGTTAGAGAATTGTTTACGTTGTCAGAAGAAGCAGCATCATGAAATCTATTGTATTCATTTGGCTAATCTGGGAGCTCTGGTGGTGTAGTATCTACAGCACTTGACTGCTAACCAGATGGCTGCAGTTCAAACCCACCAGCCACTCCTTCAGACTGACTCAACAGTAATGAGTTTGTTTTTTTGTTTTGGCTAATAAGAAAACTGGGCTAAGCCATTCTAATGGATGTGTATTTCCAGGAGAAAAGAGGTCTTGTGACTACAAAGAAAGCAAACTTGTACTCTGATGTAATGAAAATAGAGTTCCACAGGGAGGGTAATATTTTTTTTTTCTTTAGCATTTGTTCATCTTTGATGCAGTACAGTTTACCTTCATGTCAAAGAATTACTGAAAACAATGACCGAGAAAGAGGTTTAAGTTCTCTACAGCAATTGTCACTTTAAATTATGCCCTAGCTCAGAGCTTTTTAAACTTTAATGAGTATGTGAATTCCCAGGGGATCCTTAAAAATGCAGATCCTGACTCAGTAGCTCTAGGGTGGGGCCTGAGAATCTGCATGTCCAACAAGGACCCACCGGATGGCTTTGCTACCACTTTCATTAAACCACATTTTGACTTGCTGGAATTGAGTGCATTCCTATCTCCTGGCTTAAGTGCCTGGAAGAAGAAATTTGAACTGCCTCCATGGCGTTTTACTGTATTTTAGCTTTTTGGTATAATGATGATCCTGGCCCTTTGACATCTTTAATTTTCTGGTACTGACTGTGACACTAGAAAAAAGAGGCAGAGAATACCATTTGTGAACAAAGTCACTGCCTGGCTATGAATTCTGCCTGTGTCCTCCCAAAGGTGATGACTCTGTTCCTGGGGTGACCTTGAAATAAAGTCCACATATGAAGGTGGGACAATTATGCAGCTTGGTGGGTGTATGCAATATCATTTTCCACCCTCTACAGGAAGACATTCGGTACATTTTAAAACTATCTTCTTCATTTGTCTGTAAATGTTAAGACTTTTTAAAATCATCCTTTAAAAGCGTCACTGAATTTTTTTGTTGTACTTCCTCTGCCCTGACAGTTTTTGGAGCAGTTTTTTTACATTTGATACCACACTTAGATATTGAATTCTCTAAGGAAAGCCAATTACAGCAGAACTCAGATTATGTGTTTGGGTTTTGTTTTTCAAACCAAATACAATAGAGACATAATTGGTACATCTTTGTGTCTGTCTTCTGTCAGTCTTGTGATGGCCCATTCACTCCTTGTATTCCCTTCAGAATGTCAAACTGAGTTCCCTTCTTAGCAAAAATACTTATTTTCAAAATAAATATTCCCACGATACTTGGACATTAAAAATTAAAAATCATGTAGCATTTTGGTCCCTTTGACTTCCCACATATAAAAAATGACATAAAAATAAACCAATTTCAATTCATGGAAAAAACATGTCTCATTACTAACACAGAGAAAAAAAAGAACTTTACATTTAAAAGAAGACAAAATGTTGTTCTTCTATAGCAGTATGGGAACAATATGGTTTATAGCACTATATGTACAGTATGTTTTTGTACGAAGTTAATTTTTCAAATGTTTCTCACTTGTTTGCTTTCATCATAAACATCTTAATTCATCCATGATAGCAGAAAACAGAAAGTATAAATGAATAAAAAGTAATAATAAATAAACCTGTTACTCATTTGCCAGAAAAGAAAACAAAAAACCTAATATTTAAAATTTGTATCAAGAGTACCTGTCAGATAAATTGAAAGTTCCCATTTTTTAAATTTGTGAATAAATTGATGAAAATTTATTGATGAAAATTGAGATTAAAAGGCTAGACTGAACAAGTGAGTCATACTTGTAACCCTAATAACTTCTATGTTTTCATAGCTAAAGTCACCGTAGGGAAAGATTTAAAACAAACAAAAAAGGTTGTTCACTCATTTTTATAAATATGATCCTGTGATCAAAGAGCTGTAGAATGATCAGTTTCTAAAAATATTAAAGACATACCATTGGGCAATTACATATTTATACCAAGTATTTAGTAAATACCTACATAGTTCTAGGATATGTCAATTTCAGTGGGGAAGAGAAAACAGAGTTCCTCCATGCTTAATAAAAACAGACAGCAGTTGAAGACCACAAAAGGACATTCATTTTTTTCCTGATAGTTAAATAATAATAAAAACAATAAAAACAAACATTTATTGATCACTTATTAAATTGCCAAGCACCTTTAATACACATCACATACCTTATCATCTTATTTCACCATTGTAGAGCTGAGGAAATAGAACTTCAAAAAGTTTAATGAACTTTACTAAGGTTATACAAGAAATTCCAAGCCTTGGATACCATGTGTTTTGTGTCCTGAAGGACATAACATCTGAACCACGATGTTATGATCTAGATGTTAGGATCTGTAACATCTCTTTCTCACAATGCCATGGACAAGCAAACAATACGGGTACATGGTCTGCGCCTCAGTACATCCATTCGTGAAATGCAGAGATGACCAGCCTCTCTGTGAAAGGAAGCAGATTGCTTTCAGCATCTAGAAGGGATGAACACCAGACACATATACCAAACATTACTTCATCTGCTGGTGATATACTCCACCCTCCACAAGTTCACAACCAGAGATTTAGCTCCCATACTGATTGCAACAGGGAGAGGCATTAAATATTACAGGCAGGATATTCAAGATGCTCAAAATCCTTTGTTTTTACCAAATAACATGGGGAAGAACATCTCAGACTGGATTTTAGAGAGCTTTTAATTCTGTGATACAGGACTTTCCTCCAGGAAACAAAAGTTGACTGAAGCTCCTATTATTGAGAGGCAGCAGAAATAATGCCAAGTAGAGGGGAGGAGGGAAGACCCTGACTGTGGTGTGGCCTGCACATGTGAGATAAGAGGATTGTGACACTTCTATGAACATCTTTGTCAGGTCTGACTCCATGGCACATAACAGCAACGAACATCTGTGGAACACAGTTCTACTCTGAAACACAAGGGGTCTCCATGAGGACAATTAGTTTCTTCCTCTGTCCATGGCTACTGAAGACTCACAGTACCATTCTCTGAAGTGGCAGGATCAAGGAAAGGCTTACCCACCCTCACCAACTCCAAGCCTTGACATTTCTCCCTCCCTCTCTTCTCCATTCATTTCCCATCTAGCTTATATGGGTGCTTGCTCATTTCAAAGCATAGATTAAATGAATTTGCTCCTCTTGAGATCTTTTTCCTGTTCTCTTCTTTCTCTCCTCTTCCTACTTAAATTCCTCTGTTGTCCAGGCCATTGGTAATCAAGCCTATTTCTCCCACTTGAAGAGTTGTGCACTGAATTATCAGTAAAGAGGGTAGGGTACACATTGGACTTTGAGTCAGGGCCTGTTTTTATTTGTTATGCAATTGTTTTTATGGTTTTCATTGATTCATTCAAATAATATTTCATAGGCCCTAGTGTTTATTTAGGAGCGCTGGTAGCATAGTGGCTAAAAGCACTTGACTGCTAACCAGAAGGCTGGTGGTTCAAACCCACCAGCCACTCCTCGGAAGGAAGGTTGGGCAATCCTACTTCCGTAGTGATACTGCCTCGGAAACCCAAGGAGGGGTCGCTATGAGTCGGGGCCGACTCAACGGCACATAACAACAACAACAACAGTGTTTATTTACATCAAGGAGCTCTGGTGGTATAGTGCTTAAGGCATTTGCCTGCTAACCAAAAGGTTGGTGGTTCAAACTCACCAGCCACTCCATGGAAGAAAGATGAGGCAGCTTGCTTCTGTACAGATGTACAGCCTTGGAAAGCCATTAGGAGTCACTATGAGTATGAATTGACTTGATGGCAGTGATTCTGAGTGTTTACCTGTGAGGATACTAGAGATATCTAAATGATCTTCTTAAAAGCTCCTTAGAAGTGAAGCGTATCCTTTAGGATTGAATTTCATCTTCAGTCATCATGCAGAAATGGGCTTTTGTACATCGTGTGGCAAATGACCTTGCTCTTCTATTTTTTCTGGAGTTGGAGTCAGAGAACCTGCTTCAGGTTAAATTATGAAAGATTTTTAACAAGAAACAAATAAAAAAAAAATTCTGAGCAGGAATATCTAAATGTCTAGACGGATTCCCAGGGATTATCATGTTGTCTCGTTGAAGATCTTTTAATGTGGTGACAAAGGACCATCTGCCAGCAGAGGCTTGTATGTGATTAGGTGACCTTTTTATTATCTCCTTTGAGTATCTTGAAGGATACGATTGCCACTAAAATAATAGGTATGAGATCCAGAGAATTCAAGGTGTGGGAGAACTCATTAAATAGAGTTGCATAAATATCATGCTGCAAGATTTAATGAGTCCATAGGGTCACTTATAAAGCAATGGAGCAGAGATG